CTCAGAGCAGGGACATCTGATGCAAAAGCAGGATGGGGCCGATAGGACAGCCAATAAGAAGCACAGTGGCCCTGGTGGCTCTTAACACTGGGATCTTGGTAGGAGCTGCCTGATGGGCAGAAGCCTGGAATCCAATTCCAAGTTCAGAGTGAGTGAGTGTGCCAAACAGTTTGGTTTGAAGACAAAACAATAAAACCATCTAGTTTTTAGGAGGTAGGAACCAAAACACAGTAACAGTTAACATTTATTTGATCAGCATTCTATTTTTTTTTTTGTACCGGGGATTGAACTCGAGTCCTTGTGCTTGTGCAGCAGGCAGCGAAACCACTGAGCTAAATCCCCAGCCCTGCATTCTATTTTTTAATATATTTTTTCTTTTTCAATTTTTTTTTTGGTACCAGGGATAGAACTTGGGACCTTGCACTTATGAGGCAGGCAGTGGAGCCACTGAGCTAAATCCCCGGCCCCTCTTTTTCAATTTTTGAGACAGGGTCTTGCTGTGTAGCTCAGGCTGGTCTTGAACTCACTATATGTAGCACAGGCTGGCCTCAAACTTAGAGCAATCCTCCTGCTTCAGCCTTCCAAGTGCTGGAATTATAGGTGTGTGGCACCATGCCTGGCCAAAATCCAATTTTTAAAAAAAATTTACAAGTTTTAAAAAAACCATTTCAAAAGGCTTTAAAAGAACATTCTCCTTTTCTGGAAGGAGAATGCTCTTTTTTAAACCTTCTTGTTTTTAAAGTGTGAAAGTAACTCAAGTTCACAGTAAAATCAGACTTCATGTTCAACATAAAGCAAAGACGAAAAACCCTGTGCTTACCTTACTCCCAATATGTTTTTCTATCTTTTTCAGTTCCTATGAGAAAAAGAAAAACTTTTTTTTTTTAAACACAGCAGAGCGTTGCACAAGTATGTCCAGGCTATGCAGAGCTGTCAGGCAGTATACTTTTTTAAATGGATATTGTAATGAAAAGTTAAAAGGGAGGGCTAGAGAATAAGCAGAGTAATCTAAAACTCAGAGAAGGAGAAGAACAGCAAATGCCTGACCTACTAGATGTGCTAAACATTGGAAAGACCAAGGGGTGAATGTCTATTAACTACAGTCAGAATGAGCATCCTCCAAAGAAACAAGTGTGGAAAAAGTATCCAAAATGCCAAAGAAAGGCTGGAAATATTGCTGCATTAACAGTTTCCAAAAAAAGAATCCTTCTCAGTACCTAAGGGAAAATTACTCACCTACTATTTTATAAACTGGAAATGCTTTCTTCTAATAGTTATGGGCTCAAATTTCAAAACTTACCTGGCTAAACTGATGCTATTTCTGGGGAGGAAAGAAAAAAAACCCAAAAAACTCCATTCGATTTTTAACAATTATTCCACAAAAAATAGACCTGGAAGATTATTTTTAAGACACAGTCTATTAAAAATGATCAAAAAAACCCCCCATTCTTTTGTCTTCCTGTGGAAGCAAAGGGAAAAAGGACTTTCCTCAACATTTGTCTTGTGTCCTTATCCACAACCACTTCCTTGTCACTGTGTCTGGAACATTTATTTCTGGCATCAGTGCCCAAAATGCTATGCTATTCTTAGGGTGCTAGGTTTAAAAGTCAGCATTAAGAGTTTATTCTAGGGTAAAAGAGGTGGTTATTATAATTTGGAGAGACATTTGAAAAATCTCTATATTGTCACACTCATAGCTGGCTCTCATCATTTTGGGGGAGCATGCCCCCTCCTAACCATATGGGCCTTGCCTGAGGAAGAAACAGTGGGGGAATTGAGTTGCTGAAGAGCAGGATAAGGGGATAATCACCATTTGCTGTCACTCCCTCATTACCTGACCATCACCCTGGGATGACTGTCAAACCTCCCCACTGGGATACGCCAGCTGCATGAAGCATTGCTCAATGTTGACATGGGCCCCAAGCCACTTCCTGCAGAAAGCCCTAGCTCTCCATTCAGACCCCTTCCTCTCACTCCATAAGCACTGAGCAAAATATCTTAGTGCTGGTAGCAGAATATGAACCTAACAGAAAGCGGACATTTGGTGTGCAGACATATAGGTCATTCTTTAATTAGCCATGGTGTATCTCCGCTTCAGAGACCCTGCAATGTCCTGCCAACCAGCCCCTTTCAGAGGTCATGTTAAAAGTCACCAAAACAAACAAACAAACAAACAAACAAACAAACATGTCAGCCAGGCATGCTAGGGCACTACCGTAATCCCAGCACTCAGAAAGCTAAGGCAGGAGCCTCAGAATCAAGGCTACATAGTGAGTTCAAGGCCAGGTTGAACTACATAGTAAAATTGTCTCAAAAAACCAAAATAAAACAAAACAGAAAAAGGGTATGTCAGGAAGGAGCCATCAAAGGCACAACTACTTGTTGATTCAAACTTAGCATTTGAACTAAGCCTGAAAGAGACTCAGCACTCCCAGAATCATTGTGCAGGCCATCATTGTACAGTACTTGAAAGCACTTCCCACAACTAAAGCAGAATTAGTTTCAGTGCAGAGCCCATACCCCAGCCTTGTTTTCTGCAAAAGACGATCTGTGTCTAACACACATGGGCTTTGTGGATGTCTTCCAGGTGATGGGAGATCAGATGCAGTGCGGAGGAGCCACCATTTAAAAGAAGACACCTCTGAGCTGGGTGCAGTGGCATACATGTGTAATCCCACTGAGGGATGCTGAGGTAGGAAAATCACAAATTTAAGACCTGGCTGGGCAACTTAGTAAGATCCTGTCTCAAAATATAAAGAGTTGGAGATGTAGCTCAGTGGTAAAGCACTCGTGGGTTCAATCCCCAGTACCCCCACCCCCATACACACACACACACACACACACACACACACACAAACCTCTGGTAAGCAGCTACATTCTATTAAAGTGGGAGACCTGATACAACATACATGGGCTCTCTGGCCTATTTCAGCAGAGCAAAACAGGGCTCACAGGAGGGTCCTGAACTCAAGAATTCTGAAGACTTGTCTATGTCTGTTCCTTGTGACTGCAATGTAAGGATTTTGCATTCAACTGATCAAAACATTTCTGGTGGCCAGAGGCCACCCTGTTGCTAACAGGTATACTGAGGCAGGGACAGTGTGTGTGGGTGTGAACACCCAATCACAAATGACAGCATTGTCCTCCTTGGTCTCATTTCAAGTGAATCATTTAGCCTTCAAATCTCCTGACATCCAGGAATTTTCTCCTACTCTGGTGAGAAGCATGCTGTTGCTAAGCAAACTGGACAAGTCACATCTAAAGATACTCTCCACACTGTCTGCCCAGGGGTGTGGTTAAAATAAACAGTGACAAAGCCACTTCAAGTTACAAATAGGACAAGCTAAACATAGGACACACAGAGATCTTTTGAAAAAATTGTGTGTTTTATGCTTGCATGCTGACACCAGACTTTGTGACAAGTTTTAATCATCTTCACAGAAACCCAAAATGTCTTGTAGATCTGTGAAATGAAACTCCTAGCAAACCACATGGTGGGGAAGCCGCCCATGCATGCCCCACACTCAAAGGGCTGATTTGCACATACTTTTTTACTATTTTTAACAAAAAATTTAATATGAAAATGTATGATACAATTTTCAGTCATAGTGAAACTAGCACATTGAAGAGGGGCATGGATTTCTCTGCTGAAGTTAGTCATTATTTAAACTCGTCCCAAGGCTTCCAACATGACAATACTATTTCCCTGTATTACCACCATTCCAATATTGCTCTGTTGCCCACTAGCTGCCATCTCCACACATTCATCTATCACAAGATTCATAAAGGGATCAAATCCTCGCAATATTTCTCGGACATGTCTGCCACCATTTAATTTCAAAGATAACTTCTTGTCCACAAATTTTTTCAGCTCGGGAGGGTGCTCATCTTTATTCCTGGGGCTGAGATCTCCTTTGCAAGGGAATCTGCGGCCCTGTCATCCTTCCATGGTAGGCTTGGCGCTTTAAATCTTGTACATTATTTTTGATGGTACAAAATCCTAGAGTGGGGGGATAAAACTATGTTCACTGTTGTGACTGGACTGTCTGGAAAGATGGCTCTGGGGTTTCTTCTAGCTTTTAATCTCATCTCCTAATTAGGCTTAAAACAATTCATTGACGTGTGTGTGTGTGTGTGTGTGTGTCTATGAGTGTGTATATCTATTTGATGTCTTTTGGTCCTTTTAAAGTCAATGACAAAGAAGACTCCCTTCCTGCGGCCCTGTCAGCCAGTATTATGGCCACAGGACTTCTAAAACTTCTTTCAACACTGGTTTCACTTGTACTGTTGTGTTTGCATAGAAGACCTTTGGAGTCACAGAACTCCTACATAGTCAGGTAAGCATTAACTAGGGATTTTATCCCTTTAGTGCTTTGGTAAAAGGAAAACCTCAGCAACTGGCAAGATTTTTTTCAGTGATTAAGTTCCACTCTAGACACCACAGTGAGCCGTTGTTGGGCTGTTAGCCTTTTCTTTCAGGATCAAGGAATGACAAGAGCAAAAGCACATGGCCCAAGGGAAAAGGGATTAAAGCCAAAGTTCACGTTTACTGAAGAGTATCTCTTTGCTTGACCCTCCAGGTCCTGGGCTCAGACTGGCTGGACATACAGATACTTGTTAGCTCCCCTCACCCCCACTTTTCCCAATGGTACAAATCACACCAGCTACCGAACCCTTTCTTGCTCCTCAGCAAGTGCTTAATGTGGAAGAAGTCAGAGTCGGTGCTTGAGGGGTCAGCATGGCCAGACTACAACAAACCATAAATGGAAAGCTTGTATTTGTACGGGGAGGAGAGTAAGACATGGAGGGTGGGAGGACAGAGCCCTAGGCTCAGAAAAGAGCAAACAAGTCAGCAATTACCCCAGCTCAACAAGTACCAAACGGAAGTGAGGGCCAGGTGAGGAGGGGCTAAAATGAGCAGGCCAGACCCTTCACCTTGAGCGATACTGGCGGGCACCACCCAAACCGCTCTTTCATTTCCAATTTTCAGGATAACTCACCTTGGGGTCCGGCGCAGAAGCGGCCCCAAGAAAAAGGCCGACTCCCGCCAAGCACCGCTACCGTGACTCTCGCCCGCCTCCGAACTCTGGTCGCTGACACCGAAACCGATCGGCGAGCTGGGCCACCCTGGAAGGACGGGGTCGCCCCGGAGCCCGGCCTCTCGCAGGTCCCGGCCCGGGGCTGCTCCTGTGTCACCTCCCCACCCCCGGCCAGCCGCTGGCCAGCCCTCACTGCCTCACCTCTGGCTGGAGCCGGCCGCGGCTACCGGGGTCGCGAGGCTCAGCGCATCCTGGGCTAAGGGAGATGAGACCCAAAGGTGCGCGAGGCCCGAGACGCGTTATGTAATAGGCTGGAGCCGCAGCCGGGACGGAGGCGGCGGCCCACGGCACTTCCGCCTCCCGCACCCGGCTGGCTGCACAGCCCGGAAGCCCATTGGCGGCCACTGTCCCACGCTACAAGGCCCAGCGTGACGCCTCCGCCGCCATGTTAGGAGTGGGCAAGCGTCGCGAAGTAGACGGGGTTGCAGCTATACTAGACCCGCGAGCTCGCGCAAAGAGCAGCCCGGCCCTTAGAGAGTGGCCGATGTCCCCAGGTCCGTGGTCGCGAGCGTGCGGGACACAGGAAGGCTGCTGCCCACGGCCAACACTTCGCTATCTCGTATTGGAGTACCGGAGGTGGAGTACCGGTGTTGCTCGGCCTGGCGGCGACATTATCAAACATGACACCACAAAGCCTAGTCCAGTGGTCCCGAACCCAACAATTACCATTGCCGGCAGCACAGCCCCGTGGCCACGCCACGCGCCTGCGCTGACAATAAGGGACAGGAGGTTGAGGTTGTCACTCCAAAATGGGTGACAGTTCCCCTCAGGTTGGAAGGGGTTTCTATATAGAAAGATCTGCGATTTTGTTAGTAGATAATCTGTGTTGGGAAGAAATTTTAAAACAATTTATTCTTTGCTTTCAAATAACTACAAGAATCCACACATAATCAAAGGAGGAAGAATCTACCTACAGTCAAAAAACTGCTTGCTCTCTATTTCTTTTTGCCTTTTCCAACTTGCTAGAACATACGATGAATGCAGGAGGCGAAAACCCTACGCGGGTTCTTGCTATTCACTGTAAGCTGTGATTCAGCATCAGCTGGGGACTTGTTACAATTGCAGAATTTCAACCAGGTGTGGTGGTACACTCCTGTAATCAATCCCAGCATGCTGGGAGGCTGAGGCAGAAGGATCCCTAGTTCCAGCCCAAGAAGGGCAATTCAGCTACTTAGTGAGATTGTTTCAAAATAAAAAATAAATGAATAGGCTGAGAATGTAGGTCAGTGTGAAAGTCGTAACTTCAACTGCGGTGGGGACAGGACACACAGAACCTCAGGACCCATCCATAATGATTGAATCAGAATTTGCATTTAACTCAAAATTGGCACTCAAGAGGGTCTCCAGATGAAGTGTAAACACATTAAAGTTTGAGAAGCACTCCCTAGGACTAGGTGATGGCAAATTAAGGACATTCTGTTGTTTCCAGGGTTCTATGCACAGCACTAGGAGATGAACTGCCAAAATAAGAAGGGTATATATGGGCCGGGGATTTAGCTCAGAGGTTCCGCTGCCTGCCTCGAAAGCACAAGGACCTGAGTTCGATCCCTGGTACCAGAAAAAAAAAAAAGAAAAAAAAAGGAGAAGGGTATATATATATACCCTTCTTCTTTCTTTTTTTCTTATATATATATATATATACACACAGTCCAACTTTAAAACACTTTTAGGGCTGGGGATTTAGCTCAGTGGTTCTGCAGCCTGCCTTGCAAACGCCAGGACCCTAGTTTGATCCCTGGAACAACAACAAAAAACAAAACAAAACACACACACTTTAAAAACACAAATGAGAAAATGATTACTCTTTCCTCAGGGCTTCCCATATACCATTCACAGTGGTCAAGATCTCATATATGATCAGGAAACAGCACCATGTGTTGTTACTATAGGGATATTCAGGGTAGTCATCCTCTAAAGTAAATGCCACCCAACTCCCTGTTCCAAGGTGGTCCCTAACTGCTTTAATTAGTTTGGGTCATCCCTTTCTCATGTGGCTCAGTGATTAGTTCAGATGACCCCAGGAGAAGCGAGAGAGAGAGGCATCTGCTGGTCATTAGGACTGGTTCACCCTCTGCAGTGTTTTGACATATTCCACTTGATCCTATAGGCTACTGATTTTGTGATTACTATCCTCTCTTTCTGAACTGAAAGTTTTGCTGTAACTGAATCTCTTCCAGTTGTGGAACTTGGGCAAAGCTGCCATCTCTCTCTTCCAGGTTTGTTTCTCCAGGAACCCTTGTTCTGTTTCTTCTCCCTCTGGCTCTGTTTTATCAAGCATATTACTGTTTCTCTCTTCCCTACTCGTGATCTGTTCACCCTCCAGCCTTGAATAAACAGAGATATTTGGTCGGGTTTTGTTTTTTTTTTGGTACCGGGGATTGAACTCAGGTCCTTGCACTTGTGCAGCAGGCAGCGAAACCACTGAGCTAAATCCCTGGTCCAGCAGAGAGATACTTAAAGGCACTACCAGTGGCAAAAAGCCAGGAGTCTCCCATAGTCTGGCCACATACCAAGCTGGCCCTTGAAGGAAAGCCCTCAATTCCTGTATCCGCAACTGCACGACTGTATTAGTCAGTTTTCCTATTGCTGGACATAATACCTGACACCCATAATTTAAGGGGAGGTTTAACTGGGCTCATGTTTTAAGGGAATTCAGTCCATGGTCAACTGGCTCCAAGGCAGGAACATCTTAGTGTAACAGAGCAAAGCTGCTTAGATCATGGTGGCCAGGAAGCAGAATAACAAACAGTGCCAGAGAGGAAGGGGCCAGGAACCAGATTCAGACCCCAAGGCCAAGCCTTATGACCCACTCAGAAACACCCAGAGGTGTGCTCCACCAATCGCACTGATGGATGGATGGATCCCAAAGCTAATCATAATGACACTACCCAAACCTCTAACTTTGGAGACAGGAATCAGGCTCTTCTGGCCCAGGGAAAACAGTAAGTGTTATTACATGGACAGGCTCTCCCTTCCTTTTTTAAGTCCCAAGAATTTCCAAAGCCAAGATCTCTCCAGGAATTAAGGAATTTTAATGTTTACTCTAGGCCCTTCCCCATTATCCCTAGGGTTTTGCTTTTTATTTGAGACACTGAGGATAAAATTCAGGGGCCTGTTACACATTGAGCTATATCCCTAGCTATACATATCTATATCTATATCTATCTATATATATCTATATCTATATCTATCTCACTATATCCCTAGTGATCCTCCTTGCCACAGCCCCTCAAGTACTTGGGGTTACAGGCATGCACCACTGTCCCCAGCTGCCCTGCATTATTGTTTGCTTCACAGAAGAACAAAGTCCAGTGCTGCTCTCTTAGTCTAACTGTGGGTGATCCAAACCCCTGTCTCTTATTCAGGGAAGGTGGTCAGTAGATGGAATGAAGTTGGGGAGAGAGGAGAAGAGACTAGTGGTTTCCCCACTAATACCCAATATTATGAGCAATATGCAACTCACAACCTTGTACATAGGAAAACTTTTTTGTTTTGAGACAGGGTCTCTCCATGCAGTTCACGCTTGCCTTGAACTATGTAGCCCAGGCTGGCCTCGAACTCACAACAATTCTCCTGCCTCAGCCTCCTGAGTGATGGGATTACAGGTGTGTACCACCACGCCTTTTTGAATACAGATGCTGGTCAACTCATGATGGGATTATACCCCAATAAACAATATTACAGGTTGACAATATAGCACGTCAAAAGTGCATTTAAAAGCCAGGAGTGGTGGTACACACCTATAATCACAGCACTCAGGAGGCTGAGGTAGGAAAACTTGAGTTCAAGGCCAGCCTGGGCTACACTGTGAGTTCAAGGCTAGCCTGAACTGCATAGTGAGACCCTGCCTCAAAAACAAACAAAAAACACCAAAAATATGCATTTAATATACCTGTCGACCCCTGCCCAAGCAGAAAAGAAAAAACTTCCCAGGCAATGCAGTTACACATCCTGCAAGGCGCAAAGGATAACAGGAAGCCAAGGCCCAGGTTTGAGATAAGCAGCCTGGCTCTCATGCAGCAACACCTGCAGGCCCAGACACCCCTGGAGACCACCAGCCTTCCTCTGCCAGAGAACAAAAGACTTCCTCCACTCCAGGACAAAAATTTCCCACTCCTCCTGGGACTACCCTTCCCCTACCCAAACTCCCCTAAAAGTTTCCCCTTGCCCAAGCCCCCAGGATCAATGGCTTTGCTGTCCTTGACTAGCCTGCACCCAGGCTTGTAATAAAATGCTTGTTGCTTCATTTTTGCCTGCTTTGGTGGTCTTGGTCACGCCATGGTTTACCCTAACACTTACCTGAACATTATAGTTTAGCCTAACCTTCACCTCAAAATTCTTGTTAGCTCAGTTTGGTAAAATCACCTAACATAAAGCCTGTGTTATAATAAAGTATTGCCTACTGACTATCTCATGTAACTCACTGAATACCTGTACCCAAAAAATGCTGGCAATGTAATACACTGTGAGTATCAACTATTTATCACCCTACACACGTGGTTTACTGGGAGCTGCAGTTTATTGCAGCTCCTGCCACCTAACATCTTCTGAGTATTATACTAAATACTGCTAGCCTGGAAAAAGATCAAAATATGGTTCCCACTGAGTGTGTATTGCTTTTGCATCACTGTAAAGCCAACAAATCCTTAAGTGAAACCATGGTAAATTGGGGGACCATCTGTATTTCCTCAGGAAAAATTCTCAGAATGTTGTTTAAAATTATTTTTAATTAACCAAATTTTAAGTTTAGGGGAAAAAAACCCCCAGATTGTTTGCCAGAAAGATTTTACCATTGTGTTCTCATGCTAAAAGTACAAGGACTTTATACCTGCTGAAGCAAGGGGAAACGAGCCACACCCTCACCAAAATACGGTATAATTCTTTACCTCTCTGTAATCCAAGTGAAAAAGATCGTTTTCATATACACTTATTATGTTTGGTCATTTAATTTTTATGAAATATTTGTATTTCATCTTTATAATATGATTTTTTTAAATGAGTGTGTCCAACAAGCTATTTCATTTTTGGATTAACTTGGGAGATTTTTCTGACATTTTTTCTATGGTAAATTTTTAAAAAGATACATAGTGGGCTGGCGATTTAGCTCAGTGGTTGTGCTGCCTGCCTCACAAGCACAAGGTCCCGAGTTCAATCCCCGGTATCGAAAAAAAAAAAAAAGATACATAGTGAAAATAAGCATCTCAGCCAGTTGTGATGGCACACACCTGTAATCCCAGCACTCAGGAGGCTGAGGCAGGAGGATTGCAATGAGTTTGGGGCCACCCTGGCCTACAGAGTTAGTTCAAGGCCAGCTTGAACTACATAGTGAGATCTGTCTCAAACAAACAATAAATAAGTAAGAGAAATAAGTTTCCCTCCTTGACTCTGAATACCAGAGGTTTCCATTTTCCAGGTATTTTTTTTATTATTTACATAGACAAACACTGTATTTTTATAAACAAAAAGCAAGTGTGAGGGAGACAAGGGCCAAGCTTTAAAGCTGAATTTTTTTCCTTCCTTCTGTCCTCATTTAAAGAGGCCAGACACTGTGGGCACAAGTAGTGACAAGGACACAAACTGCAGTGGACATGTGTGATTACAAGACGGTTTGATAAGAATTTCAACAGAGTAATTTGTTGTGCAAACAATAATGGAACTTCTAGAATGGAATGTGAGTGGATGCATATTTGGTAAAGTGCCTACTATATGCTAAACACCATTTGATAGTTCTTTCAGTGTTTTCTTTTACTTCCTCTATGACCCTGAAAATTAGGTATTGGCTGTCCCCATTTTATAATACAATATGCACCCAAGGCCTTTAGTGCATGCAAAATGAAGCTGCTCTCCTCAGTGGCAGCCCTGTGTGCCCACCATGAACAATTAAAGCTAAGAAACAACAACAAAAATAAAAAACTGATTGGGCCGGGGATTTAGTCCAGTGGTGCCCCAGCCTGCCTCATAAGCGCAATGTCCAGAGTTTGATCCCCGGTACAAAAAAAAAAAAAAGAAATCCTCAAAAAACTGATTGATCATCAAAACAAACTAGTTCAAGGACTGGGGATGTAGCTCAGTGGTGCCATGCCTGCCTGGCAAGCACAAGAGTTCAATCCCCAGTACCGCAGAAAAAAAAAAAAAAGTCTGTGTGTACAAAATAAACTGGTTCATCATTAAAAGCCAAGTCCTTCGCCTGGATCAAAATTTTCCTGACTTACCCAGGAAGAAAGTCACAAGTTTTCCAAAGCAGTCTTTGCAGGGAGACCTCTGGAAACATCTTTTTCAGGGTCCTGGAAACAAATCATGAAGAAGCTACTTCATAGCAAACCCTGTGGATGGTCATCTTGTTGACCAGCATCTGCCCTGCTAGAGTGAATTTTGGATCACCCTGGGGAGCAGAAAAGTTTCACAAGACTGGCATGAGTAGGGCCAGGGATTTAGCTCAGTGGTGCCGGGCATGCCTTACAAGTGCAAGGTCCAGAGTTCAATCCCCAGTACTACGAGGTAGGGGGAAGACTGGAATAAGTTGGAGTAAATTATCCAGACTCATGGCTCTAAGGGGTTTGTTAATATCTGCATGGATCCAAACCAGGAACCAAATATTTTGCTTCCAAAGAAATTCCCTCCTGGTGTGAAATGATGCAAGGGTATAAACTGGATCACCAAAGATGAAACCACTTCCTCCAATAAGAACCACAGCAGAGGTGGAAGAGGATGACCTTGTGGCCACATAGCCCCTATCAGGCTTCCCATCCACATACTAACCAGGCCCAACCATGCTTAGCTTCTGAGATCAGATGAGATCAGGTGCATTCTAGGTGTTACGGCTGTCACAGCCCCAATCAGGGTAGTACAATAGAGGGTCTGTTTCTCTATTAATATTGTCAGTGTATTCTGAGACTGGGCTTCCCAATCAGACTCACCAGGGACTGATGGTTAAACCAGATGTTTATTTGCTTACAGAACAACTAGAATATTCATATTCCTGTTTTCCTTAACAAAAGAATATAATCATTTACCCTCCTCCCAAGTAAGTGAAAGCCTTTACTTTATTAAACTCTATCACTCAGTACTATAATTTAAAAAAATTTTTTTAAATGACTGACAGGTCCAAAATGGCTTCCATTTAAGTAAGTTTACTCTATTAGGGCATTGTTTCCAGCAGGGATAGGTTTGACTCCCTCCCTCGGACTCCCTCCCCTCTCAGGCTGGCTCCGTGCCTCATCCTCCAAGGTTCAGCTTTTCTGTATGCTGCAGGGCAGAAAGAAGCAAGGGACTGGCCGTCCTAGCTCTGTAACTTCTTCAGCCAGTAAGTCTCAGAATTAAAGTCACAATTAAACCCCTGGTCTCAGAAGTTTTAATTTGATGGGTCCTCTGGGGAAACAATTACATGTGTATTCCTCTATTTTATTATCCAATCGATTGTTTCTTTTCTGTTCTCATTGTGTCTAACCTGCATTCTCCATAGATCTCATTACCCTACAAGAATCTCTCACTGAAACTTGTATTTTGTAAGAATTAATTGGTACCAGATCCACAATTCTTCACTGGAAGCATCTCTGGTCTGACTGAAAACCAATTTGGCTAGAGCTGACACATAGCAAAGCCCATTTTTGGTAATGGCATTAACATGTTGGAGGTACATTTTAGAATTCAGGGCCTCTTTCTCATGCAGAGCCACTTATTCAGCTACACGTGACCCTAGCTTTGAAAGCATGAGAGCCTCTTGTTTTTTGTGGGGTTTTTTTGGTACTGAGGATCGAACTGGGGACCTTCTGCTTGTGAGGCAGGCAGTGGCACCACTGAGCTAAACCCCCAGCTCAAGAGCCACTTGTGTTTGGTGAAAGTAAAATTTGCCCACATAAGATGCAGCCAACATTCCCTCAGTAAGAGACTCGATTATCAGTGAATACCAGCTCTTTAACTGCTCAGCCTCTCATGGAAGCTGGGAGACAGATAATCTGTTTACCCAGGCCTCAATATATAGCAGGCTTTTAGTTCTTCTTGAATATATATGTCCCAAATTGTTTTTACTCTTTCTGTCCTTGAAGAACCATTCTCCATCCGGGGACCCTACCTCTTTTGTAACCCATTTCCACAATGACTATTGCTTAGCTGTTAACAGACACTACCTGTAACACTGTTATCTGACTTTTTCTACTTTCTTATTTTTTCATTCCTGACAGAGCTTTGATTTTTGTGCAGTATATGGTCAGGGAAGGCTAGGTCCTTTCTCCAGTGCCAGGGCATGAAGTATGATGGGCTAACCTCTATTACCATAGTCTTTTCATTTTGATAATGACTGGTTTAGGATGAGTACATGACACAATACATGTCTACACGTATTTTATCGATGCCATTGTCACTTTCACCAAACTGCTAAAGCCGAGGGAGAAGAAATAAAAAAGTGTTGGAGTGTTGATAATGTCACTGAGCGACTGAATCAAACAAATGCCCTATCTTTGCTCATCATTTTTTCTGGTTTTCTGTTCTAGCTGAAACTATCCAGTTTTTTCACCAAATCCCACTACTGCTCAATTCTTATAATATTGTTTTCTTGTATTGGGGATCGAACTCAGGACCTTGTGCTTGCAAGGCAGGTGCAGCGCCACTGAGCTAAATTCCCAGTCCTCATAATATTGGTTTTTTTTTTGGTTCCATAATATTGTTTTAATAACCACAGAACCATTCCCCAATTAACCTTGCAGTAAACTCAGACAACATATTGAAATTTACTCAGAAATTTCACAATATCTATTGTGTCTTTTCTCCCCTTACCCTACACCTTCATAAACTGAAAATTCCTTTCACTTAACATTATCTAATAACCTTTGAAATTGCCCTTTAAATTATGGAGGAGAGGCATTCTGATCTCACTGCAACTGAAGAAAGCAGTTAAAAATTGGCCCTGATCACCTAAGCAATTTGTGGCAGTTTTCTAATTCCCAATCCCTACACCACAGAACCCAATGTCTACAGCGTGGGGCACGTCTGTCATTTGGAGGACAAATGTAAAGTGTCCAACGTCTGGCGAAGCAAACCAGTGGCTCTACTCCTGCATGAGGTCCGCTGCGGTTCTCGGTTAAGGCTGCAGTGGTGGGCACACGCACCACATCTTAGAATGTTTTGGGTCGGAAACCAGGCCCACCCAGATCGGAACCTTATTGACGCAGAAGATACCCCTTTACTTCCCACCCCATAATCTGCCCCAGACCTAACGACCGCTCAGACCGAGGCCGAAGCCTGGCCCAGCATCCCACCGGCATCTCATTCATCTAACCCGAGAGACACACGTTTCTGGCCCACCAGACCCAGCTGGATAGTCCCACAATTCGTTACCAACGCTCTTTTGAGTTCCAGAGTCTGTCTTCTTGCTTTCCTTCTCAGAAACATCACGTTCTTCAGGGGTCACCCTAACGCTGCCCTTTGAGTGGGTCCAGTGGTCTGGATCTCACCGTAGAGACCCCGTGGGCAGAGCCGGAAATATCTGCTAGTAGACACGCACGAGGACCTTCCTCGTGCAGCTGCCGGTGAAGTACCGGTCTTCGGTTAAGCGGCCGGATTGGTTTCATTATGAGGGACAGCCCCCTGGGCGCAAACTGACCAATCAAAGAGCAGGAAAGCAGAGGCGGCTGGGGTAAGAGCTTCCGGCGGCTTCCCGCAGCCCGTGCGTGGGGGAGCATGGGAGCGTGGGAATCTTGCGGTGCCCCTGGCATCCGTTATCGCTTCTCGACTGGGCGTCGTTTCCTGTTGCTCCTGCCCAGGTGGGGGGGGAGCTCTCATTATTTCTGCAGCCCTAAGTGGACACCCTTCGGGGCTGGGCTGGGGAGAGAAGCGTTCGGTTCAGGTTTTTAAAGGGGCTTGAGGGTACTGAGGCAGGTTGGGGTACACCAAGGTCTTTTCTTTCCCCTAGCAGCTTCATCCGAACATTCCTATGGCGACATGAAGAAGAGGTCTCCCACACCCGAGATGGCGTCCACGCTCCCGACATCCGACGCCCAGGTGAGACGAGATGCCTTTTTCACACACTACGTTCTGTCGCTGTTTTCCGACCTCAGCCTGAAGACCGCAGAGAATTAGACCCAGCTGTCGTGATGGGCATGTGCCTGGCACCCGGTAACCAGCATGCCAGGTGTCTTTGTCCATAGAAGTAGTTTACCAATTCTTTTCCCACAACTAAGGAACACAGTCTTTGGGAGGGGTCTGTAACAGTTTGAAGTGTCTTCCTGGAATTCTTTTCAAAATTGCACATTTCTAGTCTTCATACCTGTTGAATAATAATAATAATAAAGCCCAGATTATTCTGGGTTTTTTTTTTTATGTACCAGGAATTGAACTCAGGACCGTGCACTTGTGAGGCAGGCCCGGTGCCACTGGGCTAAATCCCTGGCCCCAGGTGATTCTTAATTATACCACAGTCCAGTTAAGAGTAAACTTAGGGAAGGAGTAATAGATTGGATGCTAAGCAGTGAGTATAATGGGGAAGAAGAGAGAGAATGGCAAAGGAAAGATGGTGTGAGAACCCTGAAACTTCACTCTCTTTCATGATTTTTCCTCCTCTCTCACAGAGCATCTTTACTCAATGGTTACCCTCCCCAAGAATTCTCTTCTCTTCTCTTCCAGAAAAGATGTCATTCTCCCAGTATATTGTCTTGATCCTTATACCACTGCCTCGAAATGTATATCTATGTTTACTCTCTTCTTCCTGAACCCACCCCTAGAACCTGTTTATACCCTATCTCAGCACTAAGGAACCTTTTCTCTGAGTCCTTTGCTCCCTTGTGTCTAATGTTTTTAGCTCTTATCAGCCTTCCCAGACTGAAGGATTGACCCACTAGCCTCTTGAATTAAGATGGCCTCTCATGTTGTTTCAGGAACCAATACTGTTTGACGATCTGGCTGTATATTTTTCTCAAGAGGAATGTGTAAATTTGAACCCTGCCCAGAAGTCCCTTACCAGAGAGGCCACACAGGAGTGTTCTAACGATGTGACCTTAATGGGTAAGGCAGTTTTTCTTGCATTTTTGAACTTTCATCAGTTCTTGGATGAAGATTTAATGCCTCGTCCACATGTTGTTATAGTGAGGCAGGACCTATTCCTGGGCAATTTACAAGGGATGATCAAAATATACAATAATGTTTATATTTTAAAACTTGGCATTACAGTGGCCCGGCCTGGTAGTGCACACCTGTAATCCCAGCACTAGGGAGGCTGAGGGAGGAGGATCGCTGTGAGTTCGAGGCCAGCCTGAGCTACATAGTGAGACCCAGTCTCAAAAAAACAACAAGGGGCAGGGATTTAGCTCAGTGGTTCTGTCGCCTGCCTCGAAAGCACAAGGACCTGAGTTCAATCCCCAGTACTAAAACAAACAAAAACCAAAACAAAACAGGGCCAGGATTTAGTTCAGTGGTTCTGCCACCTGCCTCACAAGTGCAAGGTCCTGAGTTCAATCCCTGGTACCAAAAAAATTAAATAAATAAAGTAAATTAATTACAGTAAAGATATAGTGCCACTAATTCCTCTGAAAATACTACCCCCTCACTTCAAACACACTTATCCCATAGTTCTTGCCACTTTCTGAAGTAATTGTGGAAGTCTTCTTTTGTGTCTTTATGAGTTGTGAAGTATGATGAGTGCTCCTGCTGAGTGCCATCCAACAGAAAGGTAAACTTGTAAAAACACTCCTGTGCATCCTCATCCCCCTTATTCACTAGATATGGCCCTGTAACTTCTGGTTCTTTCCCCAAATAAAAATGACCATGAAAGGTAAACGTTTTGAATTGATTTCAGAACATTGAAGCAGCCATAATAGCACAACTAAAGACACTCATGAAATAGGACTTTCACAATGGCTTCAGAAAGTGGCAAGAATGATTGTGTTCAAGGAGAGTAGAGTATTTTGAGGAGGATTAAATATATCTTTTACTGTAATTTTTAAAAATTTAAACATTCACCATGTATTTCCATCACATCTTGTATATGGATAAGTTTCATGAACAAGTTCCCCCAAAAAGGAAAGAACAAGTTCCAAAATCTGAAATGATACCATTTTTTGTGTGTGTGATAGGCTCTTGCTATGTAGTTCAGGCTGGCCTTGAACTAACTATGTAGCCCAAGCTGGTCTAGAACTCACAATGATCCTCCCACCTCAGCCTCCCAAGTGCTGAGACTACAGAAGTGTGTTACCTCACCCAGCTCAAGAGATGATTACTTTCTTTCTTTTGGTTTTCTTTGAGACAAGGACTCACGATGTAATTCAGGCTGCCTTAAACTGACTCTGTATAGCCCAGGCTGACCTAAAAGTCCCATCAGTCCTCTTGCCTCAGTTTCCCGAGTACTAGGATTAGAAGTGTGCCACATGCCTACCAAGAGATGATTTCTTTTTTCTTTTTTTCTTTTTCTTTTTCCAGTACGGGGATCAAACTCAGAACCTTGTGCTTTCAAGGCAGCCACGGCGCCACTGAGCTAAATCGCTGGCCCGAGAGATGATTTCTTAAAGACAAAAATTTAGTCTAGTACAGTGACTGTGGTTTCACACAACACATGACAATCTTCCCAAATATTTGTAGAAGTCAATTTACAGTTTTACTTGGAAAACCCTATTAGTATAGATTATTATAATTTGCTAATAATATGCTCTTAAGGGGATGCTATGCCTTCTTTACCTAACAGAGACTATATGCAGTATTCCTATACCTCTGACTGGGGCTAAGTAGCTAAACTATCTCATAACTCATGTTTTATACTTTCTACTTGTCTCTGTCATGTTCATGTTTTCCTTTATCTTTTTGAACACATATAATATATAGATATATATATATATATTTTTTTTGTACCAGGGATAAAACTCGAATAGAATATATTTTTAATAGCTATTTTAATATTTTTCTACTAGTTTTATCATGTATCATTTCTAATTTTGTTTCTGTTGACTGATTTTTTCTCCTTGTTATTGGCCATGTTTTCCTGTATACCTCATCAATTTTTGTTGGATTTTGGACATTGTGAATTTTATGTTGTTGTTGTTTGCTAAATTTTGTTTTTATTTTTTTAAATATTTTTGGATTTCATTGTGGGATGCATTACTTACTTGGGGTTGGGTATGCTCGTTTTTTTAGGGTTTGCTTTTTAACTGCTTGATGTCCTGTGTGTTAGAGGGTCAGTCTTTCTACTTTGGCTGGTAGGAATGTAAACTAGTTATTGTTCTGTATATTCCTATTTGATGATTGTTCTCATGGCTTTGGATAGTTTCCTCGTGCATGCAGATTAGTACTCAGCAAGTCTTTTTTTTTTTTTGGTACCGGGGATCGAATTCCGGTCCTTATGGTTTCAGGGCAGGCGGCAGAACCACTGAGCTAAATCCCTGGCCCTAGTACTCAGCAAGTCTTAAGGGGACCCTATGTAGATTTCCCAAGCTTTCTTTATGGGCAGCTATTTTATTATTTTGGTCTCAAATCTTAGTGGCCTTGGCATCCCAAATCTCTAAACTCAATATTTTAAGTCAGAATTCCCATATGCTATACACATACAGAAACCTTTTCCAGTCAGTGACTTGAGATAGTCATAGGATTTCATTTCTTAGGAAGGAAGGATCCCTTTTGTATTAATATATTGGCTTTATAAATGAGGAATACAGTTTTCCCTTGTAGCCACAGGAGATTGGTTCCAGGATACTGCCCTCCTCAAGGATACCAAAATCTGCAGATGCTCAAACCCCTTGTATAAGATGGCATATTATTTGCATATGATCTATGAACATCTTCCATGTACTTTAAGTCACATCTAGATTACTTGTAATACCTAATATAATGTAAATGCAATGTAAAGTTGTTATACTGTATTGTTAAGGGAATAATGACATAAAAAATCACATGTTTGGTACAGATGAAATTTTTCATTTCAGTTATTTTCAGTCTTTGGTTGGTTGAATCCGCAGATGCAGAACTCACAGATATGGAGGGCTAGGTATATTGAGAAAAATATTAAAAATGAATCCTTTTTGGCAGGCCCAAGTTCTGTCAGCTGTCCTTGAGGTAAGACTGACCATTATTTGCCTGCATAAACTCAGCAGCACAAACTTAATCATTCCTTGATGAAGAATAAAGGTGTTTTGTTTTGTTTTGTTTAGACAGTGTCTCACTATGTAGTGCAGGCTGACCTTCATCTTACTATGTAGCTCAGGCTGGCCTCAAATTTGTGGCATTCCTCCTATCTCAGCCTCCAACTCCTGGGATTATAGGCACGTGCTACCACACCTACTAAAGGTAATTTGCTAGCAAGATATTTTAGAGGCTTCTCTGGTGATAGAACTATTTTTGGTGACCTGTGTGTTCCTGGTTAAGGTAGAAAAATACTCATTTAGCCTGGCCATAGTGGCACATAAGTGTAATCCTAGCACTCAGGAGGCTAAGGTAGGGGGATCAAGAGTTTGGGGTTTGTGGTTGCTTTAGCAGCACATATACTAAAGAAAAGGAGTTTGGGGCTAGCCTCAGCTACTTAGCAAGGACAAGACTAGCCTTGACTACTCAGCAACACCTTGTCTGAAAAAAGAACCAAGTAAAAATACTCATGTGCCTTCTTTTTGTTTTTATTTTGCAGTGCGGTGAATTGAACCCAGGGGTCTCATACATGCTAGGCAGGAGCTCCACCACTGAGCAATATATCCAGCCCCTTTTTTATTTTGAGACAATCTCACTAAGCTTCTCAGGCTGGCCTTGAACTTGTGATCCTCCTGTCTTGAGTAGCTGGGATTACAGGCCTGTGCTACCTGCCTTCTTTTTTTTTGGATAAATATGAATCCCAGTATCTATTCCAAGATATATTTTGATTGTTCATCTGTCACTTGAGATGTCTTAAATAATGAAAAGCTCCCCTGAAATCTAAATAGACTAAATGGAAAACTACATCTCTAGACAATGTTCACCAAGATTGTCCTTAGTTCCTATTATTGGACCATGACTTAATTATAGCCGTCTCTGCTCCTTGCATGTTCATGAGGAGAACTTTTAATAAGTCAGGAGAACCTGCTGGCTCCTGATTTTGTATATTCATCAGTGTTGGCATTATAAGATAACTCATTTGCAGTTTCTAGCTCCTCTGTGTAACTACTTTAGCTTGTTCTTTCTCTAGTATTACTTGAAGATACTGTCTGTTTTGCTTTGTTTTACTTTTATCAACAGGAGGGGAAAGCAACACTGAGATTAATGAGCAGTTAAGCCTAGAGTCCCTGGAACTTGAACAGCTTTCCTTAGAAAATTACTCCATTGCTGCACCCGAAGTCCATTCACAAAGGTCCTCTGAGGATGGAGTTGGAATCCCTGAAAGGAAAAAATCAGGCGGAACTTCCACTTACAAGAAAAAGTTAATGAGTCTTTTAGTGACTATTGAAAACCATACCCCATTAGTGGAACTGTCTCAGTGTTTAGGAGTCAGATCACTTTCTGAAATTCTTGAATTTCCCTTGGAAGAAGCCAAAAATGAGTACAAGTGTCCTGAGTGTGACCAAAGCTTCAGCGATACTTCATATCTTGCTTTGCATCAGAAAATTCATTCAGGAGAAAAAAAGTATAAATGTGATGACTGTGGGAAGACCTTCAGTCATAGTGCCAACCTGAGGACACACAGGAGAATCCACACTGGTGAGAAGCCTTATAAGTGTACCAGGTGTGGTACCACCTTCCGTCAGCAGTCACATCTGTCCCGGCACATGAACAGCCACATAAAGGAGAAACCCTATACATGTGATATATGTGGGAGAAGTTTTATGTGGCTCCCAGGATTAGCACAGCATCAGAAAAGCCACGCTGCTGAAAAAGAATATGACTGTGCTCACCGTGATAAATCTCTTGCTCAGAAAACAAATCTGGCTTTGCATGAGAATACACACACACCAGCAATACCACAATACCAGCACACTCAGTGCATGAAGAACTTCAAACAGCCTTCATACCCTGCCCTCCCTGAGAAGAGCCACAAGGAAGACTCTGAACAATACAATATTGATGATGAAAACTTTTTTTCATTCTCCAGATTCAAGCCCTTACAGTGTCCTGAATGTGACTTGAAATTTCCTTGTTTCTCTGAGCTTGTTTCTCATCAGAACATTCACATAAAAGAAAAACCCTATAAATGTGAAATGTGTGCACAGAGTTTTGCTTTGGATTCAGAACTTGCATGCCACCAGAAGAGCCACAGGCAAGAGTATCCTTTTAAATGTTCTGTTTGTGGGAAGAGTTTTAAAGCGAATATGCATCTCGTTACTCATAAGCGAACGCACAGGAAAAAAACCCTGTAAATATAGTAAGTTCTCATTAATACTTGGAATTTTCAGTATCCTGTATGATAGGAAATAGTGTTTATGTGCCAAGCATAGTGCTAAGCACTTTACACACATTCCATGTAATATTTAATTCTCATCACAGCTTGATGTAGGCAGTGTTATTTCTAGTTTAGAGTTGAGGAGGCATAAGCAATGTCACATAGCTAGTGAATGAAACTAGGATTTGAACTCAGTTACTCATCAAATTCCATTTGAACACACCAGAGAAACATACAGAACTTTTTTGTTTTTTGTTTTGGTGGTGCTAGCTTTGCACTAATGCTCTACCACTGAGCTATATCCTCAGCCCCCAGAACTTCTTTTTTTAATTCAGTTTTCATTAAAGTGAAGGTTATTGCTAGCATTCTTTTAATTTTATGTGGTTTCTAAATAAGTTTTAGAAGAATTTATTTTTTTGCCAGCTCTGTACATATAAATTAATGTTTTTATACCTGTTTTATACTTTTCTGTTATAACTATTTGAATGTGATACGGTATTTGTATGAGATTATTGTTTTACATGTAAATTTCAGGAGGAGTTTGGAAATGACCCCCTCCCCGCCATGTTCCCAAATGGATGAACTTAGTTGATACCTTGATGGCAATTAGTATCGATGGAGTTCCCATTCTCAGATCTGATGCCAGGAGCAAGCCCTGATATTCTGACTCAAATGACTGCTGGGTATTTCAGCTGTCTTAACTATACCCCTTTCTGGGGTTGGACTTGACTTGCAGGGCAGCGCAGGAGGAGTACTTGCTCCTTACTATGGGATTTGCCTCCAGATCTGTACTGAAGCACATTACTTGTTTTGAAAAGTCAAAACTGTTTTTTAGGGAGCATGCTAGACATTTAGATGTATTGTGTGGGGTTTTTTTTTTTTTTGGTACGGGGGATCGAACCCGGGACCTTGGGCTTGTGAGGCAGTCGCCGGAACCACTGAGCTAAATCCCCAGCCTGACATTTAGATATATTACCTAATTTAATCTTGAGACTAAATCTGTGACAGAGAAAGGACTTTCCTTGTTTCACAAGTGAGGAAACTGAAGTCTTCAGAGGATAAAGTCAGTACTTTGCCAAGCACACAAAACATCACATGTGGTGAAGCTAGCATTTAAACTTAGCTGTCTTCTAATTTCAAAGGGTACAGTTTCTGTGACACTGGATTATTTGGTGGCAGTCACACTATGTTTTTTGTTTTTTATTTTTAACAGTGGCAGTTTCACATTTATTAAAGGTAGGAGAAACAGAAGGGTAAAGGAAAAATGGGCTCTGCAGAATAAATTTGGGCCAAGTAAAAAGGTAGGAAAAATAAAAATAAAAATACACCCTACAATGTAGGGTGGGTTATTGTAAACAGGCACAATAGCTTACACCATGTTTCAGCATGTCATCCAGCCAGGAAGGCTGAGATAGGGAGGATGGTCACCATGAAGGCTGCCCTGTGCACTTTCATTTAGGAACTCCTTCACTCCCTTTGCACTTTACCCAAGGCTTGATTTTCAGGTTCACTTGTAAAGTAACAGAAGAGTCTCCTTTCTATCCCTACAGTCAGATCAGAGATTTCAAGCTCTACAGAGTACATCCTGATGGTTTTAGTTTTTTTAAAAAACATAACATTTGCAATGAAAAATACATATAAAGTTGTTAGTCTTTTTTTTGGGGGGTACTGGGGATTGAACTCAGGTCCTTGCGCTTGTGCAGCACCCAGCAAAACCACTGAGCTAAATCCCCAGCAAAAGTTGTTAGTCTTAATCAAAATAATGACACACACACACACATACACACACACACGAGTTTTGGTACTGGGGATCGAACTCGGGTCCTTGCACTTGTGCAGCAGGTGGCAAAACCACTGAGCTAAATCCCCGGCCACAGAGAGTTTTAGACATTGCTGTCACATGTAAGTACCAGAGCAAAATATTAAATAATAATGGAATTTCTCTTTATAGCAACATCGTATACTATCGGAAAATAACATTTCTATGGTCTCTTGATTGGGATGTAAGAATGGTCTCATTCTATTTAAACAGATATTAGAAGGGTACATTATTTACTAAGTACAGTTATTGCTGGGAGAGCTCATGAGCAAAACTGAAGGTTTCTGAAGGGCCAGTTGGATTGAAGGTAATACCTGGAAGGTGGTCCTTCTACAGAGCAACAGATTGAGGACTGAATACACAAAAAGAAGCTGGCTACTGAGGCTAATCTCTTAACTTTCTAGATGCATGAAGATAACAGTTGGTGAGTGAGAAAAACTAAAACTACCAGCCTGATCCCGTTTGCCCACTCTTTCTTCCCTTTTGTCACTTTCTTTTGTTGTAATTTGCAGATCCAGAGTTGAGACCATGTACTTGGTATGTCAGGGCAGACTTGGTCCTTTGTTTCTATCTCCACTCTCTGGATACAGGACATCAGTCTGCCAGGGGTTCAGGGTTTTAAATTTAATGTGCATTTTTTTTTTGGTACCGGGGATCGAACTTGGGTCCTTGGCTTGCGAGGCAGGCAGTGTAAGGGTCTTAAATTTAAAACAGACTTTCTTATCTCACTGTCTGAGATGCTTTGAATTATATAGAAAGATGGTGTCCAGTTAGGTTTCCTTTTAGCTGACTTTGGAATATAATGATCTTTGTTAAATATGAACAAGAGGGCCAGGGATTTAGCTCAGTGGTTCTGCCACCTGCCTTGCAAGCGCAAGGTCCTGAGTTCAATCCCTGGTACAGAAAAAAAAATTTATTTATATATATATATATATATATATATATATATATGCATGCACAACCTTCCTTCTCTCCTGTTTCTGCCCTCAATGAGAGAAAGTGACATAGTACCTCATCAGCACATTTAAGAGGACTGAAGAACTGTAGGGTGGGGAATGAAATTGAAATAAAAGTCCCTGCTAGCAGAGTTTCTGAAAAAAGCAGAGAGGAATATCTTCGAAGGCCCTTGGACAAAGTGAGGCTCATATAAAAGATGGCAATTGCCATCTTTTCCTTTGCACCTAAGAAAGTATGGGGAAAGTGAAAATTCATGGCACAAAGCATACTGTGTACCTCAATATGAAAATGCACCTTACCAAGGGGCATGGTGGCACATGCCTGTAATCCTAGCACTTGGGAGGCTGAGATAGGAGGATCACTCCAAGTAGTGAATTCATACCCAGCCTAAAATACATAGTGAGACCCTGTCCCCCCAAAGAAAGAAAGAAAAAAAATGTACCTTACCAGATGAGGTTTGCTTTACAATTTGCCTCTTTTTTTTTGCAGTTTTCTTTATTCTCCAGATTTTGAAAGATTACCCAAACACCCATAAGAGATTTAAAAAATAGCACTTTTACAGAAACATAAATGTATACGTGGGAATAATTTAAGTGGCTTTTTAGTATAATGTTGATGATTGGTATGCAGAAAAAAAAAAACCTTGTCAGTGACTGACCTAGACATAGTTTTAGTTGTTGCTTTATTGTGCACTTGTACCTAAAGACTTTAACTTCAAGTTGCTTTGCCACAGGGAGTTGAAGGAAGAGGTGTGTCTACCAGTGATATTCAGGCAGGCTTTTTGATGTTGGCCTTTTCATCCTTCTGTATGTTTCGTTAACTGATGGAGGTAGATTCCGTAATTTTTTTTTTATTATTCCGTCATATTTTTAACTCCAGAGATATTATGAGCCTATTGTGTTAGGTGCTATTAACAGATATACTGGATAGAAGTTAATACAGAGATGAAAAAGTAACTGCAATCGCTTCTTGGCCTTTTGGCTAAGATCAAGTGAAAAAGTAACTGCAAGAGTTTACTTCTATGAATGGCTGGTGTACTCATTTTGCAGGATAGAGGTTGACACACTGGCGAAGAACAAACCGTACTGAAACAACTGACTCTAAATTTCTTGGTTTTTGTTGATGCAGTGATGAAAATGTGTATTAAATGGTTCTCTTTAGTGATGGCTGGAATATCAGGTACTGTTAAAGTTATCATTTATGAAAACAGCATTTTCCCAGTGGAATTCAGATGCCAACAGTTCACATTTCATAATTTAAGAAGTTGTGAGGTTTTTGGTTTTTTTGTACTGGGGATCAAACTCAGGACCTTGCACTTCCGAAGCAGGCACAGAACCACTGAGCCCCAGCCCAAATTGTTTGTTTTTTGAGACAGGCTGGCCATGAATTCACTATCTAGCCCAAGCTGGCCTCAAACTTGTGATAATCTTCCTGTCTCAGCCTCCAGAGTGCTGGGATTACAAGCTTAAGCCACCAAGCCCAGTAAAAAGTTGTGAAATTCTGCTTTTCTTAAAAGAGTTGGGCTCAAAATAGTAGTTTCATTGCTACAAATAATAGTCTCTTCACATCTCCCTGTGTAACACTGAAAATGACTAACTCAGTAATTCAGAAAGTTAAAACTAAAAGCAAATGACATCTCCCAGTAAATGCCATTTTTTAGTCTTTGCTTCTGAAATCCTATATAATTAGGTGCAATCTCTGGGTGATTGCAACATAAATCATTATACAATCTGAAACTGCAGACTTTTCTTAAAATAATCAGTGATTTATTGCATATGTGTTCAAGGGGAGAAATAGCAGGTTATAGTTTATCTGAATAGAGTCTTTTGAATGTTCATTAAATTTGTTATCCTTTTGGGAATCTCACTAGGAAAGTATGTTTGCTTTGACTATCAGTTTAAAAGTAAATGGTGTTTATTAGAAATCTGCATATTCATCTATTTTAATGTTATACAAGACCTATTAATATAAAGATTACCATTACCTATCTTTCCAAGGCCCATCTGCCAATCGGTGTTTTGTCTTTTAAAATTAAGATCTTTGGTTTTGATCCCCGGTACCAAAAAAAAAAAAAAAAAAACGAGATCCTTGGGCTGGGGATTTAGCTTGGTGCCACTGCCTGTCTCGAAAGCGCAAGGTTACGAGTTCGATCCCTGGTACCAAAAAAAAAAAATTGAGCTCTTTTCCCGCATGAACAATTTAGGGA